ATGTTATCAGAAACATAAATAATTATACACACAAACAATTAAATATTTGAAAATTACATGTATTTTTAATAAAATTTTTAGCTTGAACCATACCGCTTTGTACATTTACTTACTTACTGCCATTACTCGCTGACGAGTATTTGACACACATCAGAAGATGATTAGGCAAGGCGTTTTTTTCATGAGCTTTTTTGTGACTGAAAAGCCCGATACGGGATGTTATCAGAAACATAAATAATTATACACACAAACAATTAAATATTTGAAAATGACATGTATTTTTAATAAAATTTTTAGCTTGAACCATACCGCTTTGTACATTTACTTACTTACTGCCATTACTCGCTGACGAGTATTTGACACACATCAGAAGATGGTTAGGCAAGGCGTTTTTTCATGAGCTTTTCTGTGACTGAAAAGCCCGATACGTGATGTTATCTCTCTTCCGCATTCTGGACATTCAAAAATCTCTTACTTTCCTGCTTCTTTGCTTTTTGGTTGTCGTTGTTAACTTAAAGTTTACAATTGTTTACAAAGTTTTCATTAAAAAACTCCTTGTCTCTTTTGAGTTGTCCACCCAGTTTCCTCTTACCCTCTACAAGCTCTCCGTAAAGAAGAGATTTCGGTAGGCGGTTTTCTTGCATCCTGCTTGCATTACCGCTTTGTATAAAAGTTAAAAAAAATGGCCCATACTAAAATATGGTAATAAAAATTTGGTAGCCAGTTCTTCTAGTTTCAAAGTAAAGGAATTTTTCCAATTTTTTTTTATCTCAAAAACTGCGACTTTGACTGATTTTGATGTTATTACAAATTTTGTTGCAAATATTATTCCTAATCTTAAATTGAAAACCGCGTTTCGCTAGCTACTGTAATGTTGGAGTTACGATTTTTAAAAATTTTAACCCCCTCCCATATCTCCTTACCAACCCCCCACCCCCACCAAAAACTAATGGCCAGATTCTCGGGTGCCACAGTATTTTTGTGCAAATTTGGTTAAAATCGGTTTAGCGGTTTTTGAGCTATCGTGTTACAGACGGACAGACAGACAGACGGACAGACAGACAGATAGACAAACACCATGAAAATATTTTGTATTTGGGTCATTTATGACTCAAATAACTCATTTTGACTGAAATTAAAACTTTTTTTTGTGGATCTTAATAGCCTACCATACCTATTGGTATGGTCGGCTAAAAATACCAAATTTTGGGACAGAGTGGTTATGATAATTTTCAATATTTAGTTTGATGTCTTCTACATCTTACACATTTTCTTCAGAGCTTTATTAGCATTATTTCAACAGAAATATCAACTTTTTCAAAGCCTTGCAAATGGTGGGATTCAGGAAATCAGTTACCTGTTGCAAGTCGTAACACTAGGCTTCCTGTACCTACATAATACCTCATCTGAAATATTTATTATTATATTATTATTATCTAAATATTGATACTTAACCATGATTGAGTAGTTTAAAAATTAACTCAGGCTTTAAGTTGTTAATAAATATCATAAAATCAACAAATCTTCTAAACCGGTATTTTTTATTTGACGACTACTGCTGCCGTACTGCCAGTCCAATTTGCCGGTCATTTTGTAGATTACTACAACCTAACCTAACCTAACCTAACCTTAAATCTGCATTTGTGTAAACAGTTAATCTGTATTTCTGTTTACAGACCAAACAGCTCTAAAATCCATTTGGAGCATTTTCTATACTTTCAGCTCTAAGCCGGGTTGTCACTGCGCGAAACTTGCGTTTCGTAATAAAAACTGCGTTTCGTAAAACGGTTTCGTGAAACTAGCCTAGCTTCGTGTATACTTCGTACTCACCTCGAAACTCGTTTCGCGAATATGTTTTGAAGTAAGCCAGCGTCAGTCGGTTTTCGTTCGCGCATCAAAAGAGCTTCGTCTTCCGTGTTGCTCAGAGTGTGAACGTGCATCGTGTGTTTCACGCCAGAAATGGACCAAGAATCATTGTCTCACGCAAACTGGCAGCTCACCACCGCTTCGAGCACGAAACGTATGTTCGTTGTCCGAAACACACTCGCGAAACATTTTTTCGTGAAACAGTTTCGCGCAGTGACAACTCGCCTTAACGTAAGATTCCTGGTGCGCAATTAAAATTTTAAACAAGATATCGGATATTTGGCATTTATAGAAATTAATAAAAATATAGGCTTGGTGGATTTCAGTTGACAACAAATTCCGACCGCAGCGCTTCAACGGCCAAAATCAGAAATTATCACTATGTATACTTCACGCCGCGCCGCCGTCATTTTGATCGCATTAATTGTAATCGTGGTTTTGTTATAATATTTAAGTATTTTAGTTTTTTGCTAGTGCAGTTATTGAGACAATAAAACACTCAGGTACGAGGTTTGTGCGATGTTTCGGGTAGTAAAAAATAAATGAAAATAATTCGAAGTGGGCGTCGTGTTGTGTTGTGACAATTTCAAATATTAATAAAGTTGCCAAAAAAATGCTAACGCGTAAAGGAAAGCGTAATTAAGGCGTTGTTGGGTGTATAAAACATATGCAAATAACATTCAATAACTCAACTTTCCCAGATGTTCAACTCTTCTGAAAGAGGTTTTAGAGGTTCATAGTTTCTCACACCGATTTGATTAAAAGCAAAAATAAATTCAAGATTCAAACAGTTCGACGAAACAAGTGAGTAAACAAAGTGCTCGCTACACAATCAAAAAATTAAATATATACCGGGTGCGTCTCAAAAGTGGCTCACCCCCTATAACTTTTTTAATTTTTCAGATAAAAAAACGAGATTTGGTATGTTAGTATATGACGTAAATTGGGATTGATTGACGTATTCAATTGTTTTTAGTCACTTCCTGTTTCACCGGAAATGACTACAACTTTTGATTTTTAACTAGCACCCTCGGTATTTTTTTATTTTATTTGAACTTATGAACTCTATTTGAACTTGAATTACTCTGAATAGAATGACATATCATATGTCAACTTTTGACATTTTTGCTTTAAAAAAAATCTTATTTTAAATTTCAATCTAGAGTGCCACGGTTGTCTTAAAAACATTAATTTTTATTCAAGGAGCCTTGGAAAAATAGATTTGATCGTCTAATGTTTTTTGTGTCTTGTCCTGGTCGGTTGAAAGATGCACAAATCGTATTTTTAATCAAATCTCAATTTTTTCAAATGGAACGAGGGTGGCTCATTAGCATATTTGGAAAAAGCATTTTTTTACGAATAATTTGATACCACACAGTTGGTATTTCGAGTCAAATTATCATTATGAACCGCATGTTATAATTTCAAATAATCCATATAAGAAAATGTCAAAGTTGACATATGATATGTCATTTTATTCAGAGTGCCATTTTCTATCGAATAAAGTAAAAAAATACCGAGGGTGCCATTTAAAAATCAAAAGTTGTAGTTATTTCTGGTGAAACAGGAAGCGACTAAAAACAACTGAATACGTCAATCAATCCCAATTTATGTCATATACTAACATACCAAATCTCGTTTTTTTATCTGAAAAAATAAAAAAGTTATAGGGGTTAAACCACTTTTGATACGCACCCGGTATACTATGAGAGGATAAAATATAATTTGCAATATTAATGGTATACTTTTTTTAATCAACTAGATTAAATGTTTTATGAACATCTTCTAAAATTATAATTATGTACCTTTAAAAAAAATCGTTATAGCCAAAATAGCCCCAATTATGCCAAGTAGCAAAACCCGTGATTAAAACTATGCTTGCTGCCGTAGTTGAACTCATCTAAAAAGTGTTTTTTAACTGGAATAATAAATCATAATACAAGTTAGACCTTCTGCAGATATTAAAACATTTTTTATTTTTAGAATTTTCACAAATTATACTTCCTAACACTTTTAGAATAATTAAATAATAAATTTTTCGCATACTCGCTATTTAAACCTGTCTATTTGCAGACAGGAATAGAGAATGCACCAAGCCTATACCTATAACAAGAGTAAATTAATGGGTAAACAAATTCCAAATTTGTAAAGTTAAACTAAGGATATCAAATGCAAAATGCATATTTCCTTTTGAACTGTTATGCAATACCATTAAAGACGCCTTGTTATTCCCAAAGTTTAATGCTTCTCTTGAAACATAAGATTCTCTGGAAAACAGTATGCAAGTCGATTTGATGAAGAAGTTGTATTAGTTTACGGGAAACACTATCCATATCTTTTACCTTTTTATCTTGAATAGCAATTATTGTTTCCAATAAACATGAGTTTCTTATGCAAAACAAAAATAAGGTATGGAATAATATTTTTATATTAATTTAGTAATAAATAAGATTTACAATTAACTTCTATTCTTAAAATTAATTAAACTGTGTATTTACATTAAACTATTTAAATATTAGAGATCTACATTTAGTAAATTAAAAGTAAAAACCAATTTTTTAAATGTGTACTGAAATGTTAAGATCCAAAAAAAAATCACAACCAAAATATTCAATATAAACGAAATTCACTCCCCAGGAGCTATTTAATTAAATAAAAAAGATGTTATTGAAGCTCCCATAGATAAATATCAAAAAATGGCATTTATAATTTCTTGAATAATTGAAAACCTGAAATAAAAGATGCAGGTTCGTATTTAAAAAAAATGAGTTGGCCTCTGTATCTCACAAATTATCAGCTAATTTGAAAATCTAAAAATACTGTCAAATAGCCCTAATATAGTGTCTATGAGAATGTGCAATTAGTTTTTTGATTTTCTAAAAAGTAACTTATTTTGATATAATTGATACGAAAAAATAAAATTAATTTTCAAAAAAATCCGTTTTTTCCAAAAAACTCAGCAATCTATGAAATTTTTTAAACTTTTTTGATGGCATCTTGGTGAACATCCTGAAGCGCAACTTTGCTCCAATTTAACCAAGTTCGTATCTATTACGGTTATCGAGATACCAATGCTTGTACATCGAATTTGTAGCACGCTGTATACCTAGTACTTATTTGTATTTTATTTTTAGTATAAAAAAGTCAAAAATATAACTTTGTGTAATATTGGAGAAATTTCAGTATAAAATTGGAAGAATATAATCATAAAATTATCATTAAGATAAACTAATGTAAAAGAAACAAAATATAACGGAAGGTTTTTATGAGACAACAGAAACTTTTATCTTAAAATGATAATAACTTGTATTTTTGTTAATAATGTTTTGAAGAGCAGACGTGCCAGTGAGTGACTGTTTCTTTTCGTTAAACATTTGACTAAGTAACGGTTGTGCGTGAATAAACAATATGATTTGTGCAAATTGTAAGGCGCTTAGATCTGTCGCGAACGAATTGTGTGCGAAATATTTTTCCACAACTTTCAAAGTTGGATTATCCAGTTTGCCAAGTGCGATTACGTCAAGAACAATTGAAGATGTTACCGGTCCCAAAGGTGAGTAAAGAACATTTATGAAGTATAGGCATAACAAAACAAAATCGTTATTTTTTGTATTTCTAAACACGAGTTCAACAGAACGCAAATATGCTCTAATTAAATTAGAGAACATTTACGTTCGAGCTTCCTAACTTAATAACTGGAAAACTAATTTCACTATGCCTTTCTGTTCATTTTTCATGTGTATACATTTGCTTATCGCGATCGAGCGAAAATGATGATAAATTGATGTATGTTGACGTCATGACATAAGTGTCGGTTTATATATCGCCCCATTGCTGCCAAAAGTCACTAACTTACTTTTTATTACTTCCGAGAAAAATGCGTCTAAAGATGAATTGCATTGCATATAGATGTTATAGTTAGTAACTATTCGGTATTAAAATAAAACATAAATAGCCAGAAATCGTAGTTAATGACTTTTGCAATCGATCCTCCGCTTCAAAACATAGTTAGTGATTGAATTTGGTTGTTCGGAAAAATGTTAGCTAGTGACTTTTGGCAGCAATAGGATGATATGTTACTGTAAATGTCCGAAATGCGGTTAAACCTAGGATAAGCGCGCTAAACCTAGGATTTACCAAAAGCATGTGGTAAAAGCCGGAAAACTATTTATTTTGCTTACATTTCGGACTTTTACCGGACCCAAACAGTAAATCTTAGGATTTACCACACCGCATTGGTAAAAGTATGAATAAAGAATTGGTAGTAAAAACCAACCAACCCCACCAAATAACCACCTAACCATTAACCTAATGCATTAACACCCCCCAAATAACCAGGCTAACCAATGCATTAACACCCTCCAAATAACCAGGCTAACCAATGCATTAACACCCTCCAAATAACCACCCAACCAATGCATTAACACCCCAAAATAACCAGGGTAACTAATGCATTAACACCCTCCAAATAATCAGGCTAACCAATGCATTAACACCATCCGAATAACCAGGCTAACCCAATTAGTTAATGCTTTTGGTAAATCCTCGGTTTTACCGCATTTCGGACATTTACAGTAACAAATATAAGACTGATACATTAAAAAAATCGATATCGTGAAACGATAATCGTTAAAATTTCAATGCCTAAGTAAACAAAAACAGATATGTCTATAAGAAAAATAATTCGTACTTTTACCAATGCGGTGTGGTAAATCCTAAGATTTACTGTTTTGGTCCGGGTAAAAGTCCGAAATGGAAGCAAAATAAAGAAGTTTTCGAGCTTTTACCACTTGCTTTTGGTAAATCCTGGGTTTAGCGCCCTTATCCTAGGTTATACCGGATTTTGGGACATTTACAGTGACATATATAATTTTCAAAATTTGATTATTACAGGCCTTCCTGTCATTGGCACAACGCTTTCTCTTCTGATGGCTGGCTCCACTCCAAAACTTCACTACTACATTGATAAGAGACACCAGCAATATGGACCTATTTTTAAGGAAAGTGTGGGACCTGTACCCTGCGTTTTTATATCCGATCCAAAAGCAATGAGAGCTGTTTTTACACATGAAGGTAGCCATTAATATGAAAATTATCTTTAGTTGGCGAAAAGTTACAAGAGATGCTAAATTTATAAATTTGATATCATACTTTCTGTATGAGAAATATTTACCGAGGCTTCAATCTGAGGATAAAAGTTTTTATTAAGCCGTAATTCAAAGTTAAAGTGATATATTTAGAAAAAGTTAATGCTTTTTAAAGTTATTTATATTCGTAAGGATTTATAAAACAATTCGTATCATGCCCATATTCAAGCTTCATTCAGAACCTCGCAATTAGTGGAATAAATTAGTCGTTTTAATTACATTTTATACTTTTTTTAGTTTATGAACATTCAGAATATTTAAATAAAAATGAAATTTAATAGAATATCCTAGCAACAGTTTCTGTTAGTTAGTTGTATCCATAGAGAAAGTCTAATATTTAGCTTATAAAATAATCAATGCCTTCTATAAAAGATCAGCCTACGGGCAGACTCTTGTTTACTTCATCAGCTGTACATACTTAGATATTGGGTTAGATTCTGTATTCATATTTTGTCGGTTGATTTTTGGTATAATTTGTTATTGTAGTGCAAAAAACTAATTATTTTGGTGTTTAAGTGACATAAAGTACTACCAGATATATGGTCACTATGATGGTCACTCTGTTTCTCATAAAAAAAAACACGAAATATTACACGTTTTGTTAAGTGCTTTAACTTAAAAGTGCCCATACATTTTTTATTTATTGTGATTTTTGTGTGTGTTTTTTAAGACTCAACAATTCATCAATAAAGCTTAAGTGGAGTGTGTTTTTGGTGCTATGCCTCATCTTTGTTGTGTTCCTGGTGGAAAGGATAGTTATACTAGGCAGCCTAAAGTATCCGCAAGAGCAAGAAAAGTGGGCACGAGTTATAAATCAAGACAATTCTATTGAAAATATCTTTAATAAATTTAAAAATAATATTCTCCCAGGATGGTATTAAAGAAAACTGTAGGTATTATGATCTAGGGAAAAATAAAGAATATATATATTAAAGATCATGAAAAAGATTATTATTTTGAGTTCAAAATTAAAAAAGATTTTTGTAGAGACAAGAATGATAAAGTTTAAAAGAAGAATGTGTTTTTGTTTGATAATATAATGTATGTAAAGCATAACATATATTTGTTCAGTAATTTTTACTGAATAGTGTTGATTATTTATAATACCAAATTTAATATCAAATATTTAAGTGATGGCTGAATAAAATATGAATAAAATAACAATAAAATTGGTATATTTGCAATACAAAATTAAGTTTTAAGGATAAAGGTGTTACTAAAAATACTAAGAAATTCATATTTCTTTGTTTGAATTGGTCTAATGTTATTTACATTTTACGTAAGAATTATACCTATCGTCGAAAAAAATCGGCGTCTAGTTGGCTTGGAAATGAACATCGATGACATTCCCTAAATAATTGTACACATAAAATAATTAACTAGAATTTTACAATCTTGGAAAATTTGATATTCTTGAACCTTGTTTCTAAATATTCTAAATTTTTTGATTTTCTTGGGATTTAGGTTCGGGAAAAATGCTGATTAAGTTTTCATTTGGTTTTTCATTATTTTTATTTGGTTTAAAAAAAACGTTTTGGCTAACATTATAGCCTTCATCAGTGTTGTGTCATATGAAAAAAATAGTGTCGAATATAATCCCAAAAATTACATATAAAATATTCACACCACGCACCACATAATGTTTATTGCTTACTCCATAGTCAATGTAGATAGTTTTAGTGTTAAGAATAATATTTTTAAAAATTATGTGGTCATCTTTTGATAAGTTTATATTAGTTTATTAATTGCAGTTAAAGTTATTAACTGCTATTAAAGTTATTATTTATTAAACTGCTAAAAAATAGTAGTCTATTTTAATTGAAATAGGATTACCTAATGTAATTACCTTCACAGGGAAGTACCCAATTCACATTTTACCAGAGGCATGGACCACCTACAATGTACTTCACAACGTATCCAGAGGAATATTTTTTATGGATGGCGAGGAATGGCTACATTTTCGTAGAATACTAAACCCGATTCTTTTAAAAGGCGATCAAAGTTGGATAGATGAAAGCTGCAAACCGGCTATAGATAATTTAATAGAAAAAATTAAGTCTCAGTCTGCCAGGTAAGGCATATATGAATAATGTTATTTATTTTACTGTAGAATATAAAAATGTTTTTGGTTTATTTTTGAATTCATTGTTTATAGTGCGATTCTAAATGATGTAAATTGTCATCATTTATGTTTTGTTTATGATATTTTATGTCAAGTTTTTAGTTGTTTTGGAGAGAATTAGTGCAATTAGCTCAATTTACGAGTAGTAGTTACTTTGCTAATTCAACTTTACTTGTACTTTCCAATGCGTCTGTCATCAGTGTTGGACGAGTTTAAAGAAATTATTTATTCTTGCCGATTCATAAAATATGTAAAATGACCTGAATAAAATTGAATCGGTTATTATTTAAAGAGCATGTGTCCACATTTTTTAATTTTTCTTCAGAAACATAAAACCTTCTAACTTGTATTTTTTAATTTTTATTTTAAAATTGTAAATGGTAGATATTATGTCACATTAAAACCGCCTTCTAGACATTTTTTTAAATAACTGTACAAGTTTTTCGGCTTTTTTGAAGCAAATCAAGAAATGGACTTATGCCCTTTTAATAACAAACGTAAAAGCATTATGAAAAAAGATGTATTTACTTACGTGGATAAGTAAATCACTATGGAACTGTCGCAAACATATCAACGACTTCCATTTATCTTCTTTTTTTGTTGCACACGCGGTGCTTCTACTCTATCTACCCTTGTCGAGGATGTATTTTCCGCTCGCCAAATTTGAACATTAATTTGAAAATTTTAATTTGTAAAATTCTTATATTTGAACAATAAATTGAATGTTTACTGTCACAAAAATTAAATTATATAAAAATACATTTAGCCACTCCGTACGAATATCAATATTCTTAGGAAATCTAACCAGAAAGTATGCATGTGGCTTAATATAAATAAAAGAACAACTGAATACTTTAGTTGCCTATGAAAAAATAATTCTAGGACCTTTATATTAGAACTTTCACATACTAAACACTTTCTAGTCATTCTTACGAGTATTTACAAAGTCGAACCAAAAAAATAGAAATATAGTTGCACAAACTTAAAATTAACTTCTCACTGAACACACTTGCATCCTTGGCTATATAAAAGCGGTCGATAAAAGAGTAATTAATACAATTTTTAAAATAAAAAACGCAAAAAACAAGCGTCATTACACAATGGAAATAAGATTATGACATATGATTTATGACAATATGATGACAATGATAATAAAATTTTTAAAATAAAAAACGCAAAAAATAAGCGTCGTTACACAATGGAAATAAGATTATCACATATAATAATGACAATATGATGACAATGAAGAGTTGGTTTCCATAACGTATAATTTCAATAATTTGTACTTTCTAAACCGTATAAAATTGTGATTATTTTGGAAATAAGTGCAACTTTTAATGCGCATGGTGGCGCAAAGTTAGGTCCTCGAGAAAGACAAACCTATTGAACGTTGCATAAGTGCAATAAAGAAGGTTTGAAAATGGCATGTCGTGATGTTGGAGACATATTTTTTAATGTTAAACTTATGGCTTTGATTTATCCACGCAAGTATATATGATCTAGGTAAAAAATGAATTTTTGCAAAGGGAAAACAAACTAAAACCACCAAAAATAAATTTACAGAAAAAAATCATATTAAAACTAAATAGGAGGTACCAAAAATAAATTCACATAAAATTCTCAATAAAGCTGCGAAAAACCCTTATAAAACGATACGTTAGTTTTCACTATCCGAGTCATCAGACCTTGTTGTAGTCGGCCAGGTGATAATAATATCTTAGAAATTCTTATATTCTTCTGGAATATAATGGAGTACTTTTCTAAAACCATTATTATTATTATTTCGCTGATGGGATTCAATTCAGAAAATGTCCTTTTTACAGGAAGATCTATAAGACGTACATTAGGGTGTGTAAGGATAAATGTGTTTCTTATTAGATCTTTAATGGTGTTCGAAGCTATGAAGACTCCTTCGGACATGTCGAAATAGTCATATTCACTTATTTTGAACCAAATACGTTTTTCTTTGGGCTGAAATTCCGCTGGTGATGCAAATTCTTTGAAATGCTTGGCCACCGCTTATTAAAATCAAGAATAGTATCATTATTATCCAGGAAAATAGGGACGCGTAGAACGTATTTATTTTTAAAATAATTTCCATCGACTATAGAATAGTATTGTGTAAAAAGGGAGTTATGACATTTCAAGAATAAATATTTTGTGGTGTAAAGTAATGTTTACAAGGAAAATGTAATAGCAAACAAGTGTGGACATAGGCCCTTTTAATAATAAACGATTCAATTATGACGTCCGTTTCGCCCATCATCTCCTAAAATATTATTTATTATAAAAGGGAATTACAGCCCCCCAACCCTATGAAATTTACTATCCGCCTACACAACTTAACAAGTATAGCTAGAGACGTGAGAAATATAAAATAACACGCGACCGGTGCTGTCCCCAAGTCTCTTACTATATTTGTACAACTGTACAGGGTGTCCCATTTTGGTTGAAATCATACGGTATCTCCGTTATTAATGAAGATAGAAGGATGCGGTTTGCACAAACCTGTCCCACTTTTTTGCCAAACGAAAGATGCTGTAAACAAAATTTTCATAGCCCTCTTTGTTTCTGAGCTATAGGGTCTTTTTGAAAATTTTGCAATTTGGGACACCCCCCGTATCTCTGTTATTGCGAAAGGTATCGAGAAGGTGAAAACTGTTTATTGTAGAACTTTTTACGGAGAATAAAGTGGGGTAGTCTGTTATTCTACGAAAATAATATTTTCGAAGATATGAACTAAAGTTATGTTTTTTTAAATGGAACACCCTGTATATTTATAAATGATATGATTTGGCTTGCCATAAGCTTCTCAAAAATATATATCACTCTATATTTGTTTTCACTATTTACTGCAATATTTAAAAGTTTTTATTAAAAGATCATATTTATTAGTAGGGCATGATTGATAATAAAAGAAAATAAAGAATTATTAAAAGTATACTGCTATCTGTCTTTTGTTGTATTTTAAGGACCAGTAATAATTTTTTCTATACATTAGGAAAACTTAACTCTCTACCGCTATTTGTAAAGTTATCGTACCGGAGCTTTTAGATATTTCTTTAGCTAATTTACGTGAAATATACTTTCAGCAAGATGGGGTTTCCCTAACAACTTTGAAAATATTAGAATTTTGTTAAATTATTATTTCTCAAATCAATGAATTGGAACCAATGGACCCATATGATGGCTTCCCTGATGATTCCCGGTTCTCGATTTCTGATTTTGGGGATTTTTAAAATATGAAATTATTGTGGTAACTACAACAATGTCGAACACCAGGAAAATTCTTTAATAATGCAAGCTTTTAGATATTTGTAAACCCATTCCGTTATAAAGAAAGAAAAATGTATTCAGAGATTCAGTGATAACAGTTCAAAGTAAAATATGTCAATCCCAAATAAAATTTTAATGTGTGTATGACTATTTTTAGTAAATACCATTTTGATTTTTATGTTATTTATCATGGCCTACTAATAAAAAAATTATATATTTTAAATATTGAAGTAAAAAGTGAAAATAAATATAAAGTGATCTATATTTTTAAGAAGCTCATGGCAAGACGGATCATATGATTTATAAATATACAGGGTGTTCCATTTAAAATAAACATAACTTTAGTTCATATTTTCAAAAATATTTTTTCCGTAGAGAAACAGACTACGCCACTGTATTCTACGTAAAAAGTTCTACAAGAATCAGTTTTCACCTTCTCGATATCATCCACAATAATGGAGATACGGGTGCTGTCCCAAATTGCAAAATTTTCAAAAAGACCCTGTAGCGCAGAAACGAAGAGCGCTATGAAAATTTTGTTTACGGCATCTTCCGTTTGACAAAAAAGTGTGACAGGTTTGTGCAAACCGCACCCTTCTAACTTCACTAATAACGGAGATACCCTATGATTTCAACCAAAATGGGACACCCTGTACTTATATCTAAGAGGAGTCCATTTCCATCGCCTCATTTAGCATAATTTTTTAATGCTATAAATGATTTGCTGCTAAAACAGAACTTTTTTCGTTTAGTTTTAGCAGCAATAATAATAAAATATCTTGCTCCAATTATCAAGCGCAATTATGTGAATTGAATGATCAATTAGTGTTCACATAATTTTGTTAATTAAAAAAATACATAGTTCCGTTAGAAATACAATTATGGATAATAAAATAATACCGGTTTGGAAAAGGTAGTAGAAGAAACTTTTTAATCTACACAGCTATATTTAATAAAATATCGATTATTATTTTAGCGTGAGATAAAAATATAATGCTCTAACTTTTAAATTTCATGTCAAATATTCATGAAAGCCTCATACTCACTATGCGCTGTTATGGTTCGTCGATGCGGTTTGTCAATGCATCGATTTGATGCGCCAATGCGTCTAGACAATGGGTTGAATCGCAGTTCGGCGGAATATCAGTTTTTGGGCGAACCATCATAATCGTAAAATCGTAATTCACCGCTTTGAAAATGATAAATACAATGGGCGAATTTCCAAACCAACTAACGAATTGCATCAACGACGAACAGCATCATACTCATTATGCCTGCATTGACCCATGGGCGCATCAACTCGCCGCATTAGTGCATGGTGAGTATGGGTCTTTTAAGTGTTACATTGTTGGTGTCATACTTAACATGTATACATATTGTTGTCTAATACGCCCTCTAGCAATGACACGTCAGTGGTTTATAATAGACATATATGCTAAAAACTAAAGTGAATTTTTTCAATTATGTCTAATTTAATCAGTTTCTGTTAGAATGACAATATATAGTAGTTATTCATATTTCTAAAAACATATTATGCACAACATACTATGTCATCGAAAAAAAAAGACACTTAGCCCTTGAACCTGCAATTGTTGATAATTTTTGTTAAGTCCCACCCATATATTTTATTTATTAAAAGTTGACATACAAGTTTGTCAAAAATTAATATTTAA